TCCGGCCCCCGGTCTGTGCCATCCCCGCTCCCGGTAAGATCCCGCGGGGGAGACAAAACCCGCTGGCTTTGAGCTGTTAATTAACGCCGTGGACGTTTCACGGGTGTTCTAGCCGGGCTGGGCTGGGGCTGCCTCAAAGAGGTGCCCGTGGGGGATCTCAGCCGCCGGGGTTGTTGCTGACCTGGCATCACAAAGTTCCTTAAGGTCGCGTTTTTACGTAACTGTTTCATTTACACTATAGAGAAGGTGGCAAAGTGTGTTCTGCAGTAAGATTATTCGCAATGGGAATATTCAGTGGAGTATTTGGTATTTAGAGATCTTAAGCACAAATATATGAAGAATCTTGGAGCACAGCAGGATGGGTGATGCTGGAGCTTGTCCAAGTCTTCCATGTCCCTGTAACTCTGCTCAGCTTCCCAGGCCAGTGCTGCTGTTTCCAGCTCGGGGGGCTCTGTGTTCTTTAAATTGAAAAGTAACTCAATAACTCCTGAAATCAGTGGTGTTTTAATGAACTGGTACTTAAGATTCCTTTTTAAGGAGTTCTGACACCCCTGTTCTGTGAACGATCATGGACCAGAGCAGAACTTAAAGGGTTACTGAAGCAAAGGACATTACCAGAACAGAGGAGAATGTGGCAGAAGATGGGAGGAAGTGTCTACAAGGTGAATGGAACCAAAGGTTGCATGACCCAGAACAAGACAATTGAAGAAAAGAAGAAAGCATGTTGAAAGCTGATAGGTGTAAAGATGAGTAGGTAGAAGTATGCATACTGTAAATTTATAGGGCCAAGAATTGCTTGTTGATAGGTTGAAGATGCTTAGCCCACAAACCAGAAACAAAACTAGTTCCTCTATAAATAGAGGCTTGAAATAAATAATAAACAATTCTCTTGCTGACCAGCGAGGGTGTCTGTGCCTGTCACTACACTGTTCTACAAAACTAACTGAAGGTCACGTTTGTGTTTTCAGAGGAAGAAAGAAGAATGTCCCAAAAGCAGCTGAAAGAAGCCTTTATCAGCAACCTGAACGGAACTAGTTTGCTGGAAATTTCCGTGGGCTTGTCCGTGCCTCCCCTGTGCCTGCTCTGCAGAGGGCTCCTCCTGATTCTGTACCACCTGCACTATGGGAAACCTGTAAGTTCAAGGAAATGCAGCCTGCTGCTGGACTTCCTGGTGCTTGTGTCTCCTCTGCTGTTCTCCTGCACCATCTTGTCTCCAGTCCTCTCTTTCGTGCCAGTTATCCTCGCTGCCTTCTGCGCCGGAATATTTTCCAAAATATGCAGCCGGAGAAAACAGGAGAGCAGAGTGCCCTTTGGGCAAATTGTAAAAGAGTTCCAGCAGACGTGCTTGGATCCCGAGTACATTCCAGCAATAACCGTGTTCCGTGTCTACGTCAACGTGATGACAGCCATCAGCATTTTAGCCGTGGATTTCCCGCAGTACCCCCGGCGATACGCCAAGGCCGAGACCTACGGCACGGGAGCCATGGATCTGGGGGTGGGAGCTTTCGTCTTTGGCAACGCTCTCGTTTGTCCTGAGGTTCGACACAAGTCTCATGTGACACAACCCAAGTTTTCCAGCCTGGCCAGGCAGCTCTTTTCCGTTTGGCCCTTGGTTTCCCTCGGCGTCGGGCGGCTGCTGAGCGTTAAATCCATAGATTACCACGAGCACACGTCGGAGTACGGAGTGCACTGGAATTTCTTCTTTACCTTGGCTTCCGTGAGACTTGCAGCATCCCTGCTTTTAGCCATATTTCCTAAAAATAAGTCTTGGATCGTGGCTCTAACTCTGGCTGCACTACATCAGCTCATTCTCAACACTACCTCTCTGAAGACATTCCTCCTGCACGGGAGCAGCGGCGGGGACAGCAGGGTTGGATTTCTGGATGCCAACAGGGAGGGGCTGCTCTCTCTCGTTGGGTACGTGGCCACTTACCTGGCGAGTGTCCAGGTGGGGCTGTGGCTGCTGCAGTGCAGGAGCTCAGTGAAGGGCTGGCTCGGGGCACTGAGAGTTCTGGCCCTGACGGTTCTGGTGCTGTTCGTGTCCCTCCACGTGTCCCAGGCGCACGCGGACCCCGTGTCCCGCCGGATGGCCAACCTCTCCTTCTGCCTCTGGGTCGTCGCCCACTGCCTGATGTTATTTATCTTCTTCGTAGCCACTGATCTCACCCTGGTGTTCACAAAGCTGCTGGTGAAGGGCTCCAGGGTGCCCTGCAGCTGGAGTGTTGTGAAGCCCCCTAATTCCAACAAAAAGCTGGGAACGGCGGCTGTACCGGCGGGAAGGGAGGATGAGCTTTGCCTGATCAGTGCTATCAACAAAAACCAGCTGCTGTTTTTCTTGCTGGCCAATGTCATGACCGGTGCTGTGAATATCCTGGTAGATACAATCCACAGCAAGGCTGCCTTTGCACTGTGCATATTGCACTTGTATATGTTTGTCAACTGTTTAATTATGTCCATATTGCACGCCAAAAATATAGTATTAAAGTTTTGGTGATTCCACTCTGGAGTGGACTGGTTGGACTGCGCTGTAGCTGAATGGTGGTATATGGAAAAATTAATATTTTTCCTGCATGTATTACAAAAATTAGTGTTTTTCCTCCCTTTTCCTATATTGCAATAATTTATAATTTAGTATAGATTTTTATTATTTAGTATTGATTATTTTTTAATGGTCCTCGTTACCAGATTATACAGTCAATGCTGTTACCTGCTGGAAGTTGTTACACATTTTCCTGAAAACTTAGTTTTTGAGATTGCTGAATATTCCTGCTGCTCCTAGGAGTAAATTGTATTTACAGTTAGTGAACTGTGCTCATACCTAAGGGCTGGTGGAATTAGATAACGATGTATGGAGGAAAAGCCAGATGAAAAATAAGAAAATGAGTAATTATATATATAGAGAGGCTTAGCTGTGTCAAGATTTATGTAGTTAAGGCCCTTGAATAAATAATAAATAAGAATAATTCTTTATACAAAATGTATTGAATAAGTGGATACTTAAAAATGTTTTTGGCCCCAGTCCTGCAAAGATTTATGCATATGCTTGACTTTGATGGTAGTAATTGTATGTGGAATGTTAATCACATACCGAAATCTAAATTAGCCTTTGAATTAAAGCTAAATTTTATTTCCATTCTCACTGATGAATACAAATGAAGACCCTGGATAAAGTGTGATGCTCTGAAGGATAAACTCTACTGCACATGAATTCATAAAGCAGTTGTTGGAGGTTGTGGTGCAAATAATAAGAGCAGCACAGCCTTTTATAAGAAAATACAAAGATCCCAAACTCATTCACCCCCCACCTGCAGGACCAGCACGTTGTGACAGCTCATCTTTAGGAACTCTGTAAAATAGGGACTTCAGCTTTCAAAGTACTCAGGGCCCACCTACTTGTCTGTGAAATGACTTGAAACAGCAGCTCACTGAATACTGTATTTTGACAGCAGAGATGTCTTCCAGGGGGATATTTGGTATTAATTTTTATTAGCAAACAAACAGGGTGCAGATGGAAAGAAGGGCGATGCAGTGGTAGGGCCTTGACAAGGGATGTGCTCAGGTTCTCTCTCTCTCAGTCTTCCTGGAAGGCCAGAGCAGAACCCCCTCTTTGTGACAGTTCTTCCTGATCTCATGAGGTTGCCGAGAAGAGAAATATATTTAAAGATCGTGAGGAATTCAATAATGGGATATAAATACTTTAGAACACAAATGGTAGTTGGTGATAGATGGCTGATGTCAGTCCAGCTACAGCAGTGCACAAGGGCCATATTTCATATTTCTCCTCTCTATCAGTTGTGATGAATCATAAAACCTTTGGAGATTGAGCTTCTAAATCAGATTCCTTAAGGCAGCCATGCTGTGGAAGATTCCTAAACTTGTGAGGTTCTCTTAGCCCCTGGCCAACAGAAGGGTGAACTCTGAGGATTAAAAGCTGTGGCCATGCTGAGTTCCTGCTGTTTGCTTCCAAGTGAAATCCAAGTAGTCTCCAGAATTAAAGAAATCCAGCCTGGTTTATCCTGGAGACAAATGCAATAATTGGCAACAATGTCTTAGAAACAGTTGTGTGTTTACAGCAGTTTTCTGGTAACTGGTGGATGTATTTATTTTAAAGCACTTTCTAGCCTTGCCTGGGGAAGAAAGGCCTCCCTCGTGAACAGAACAGCACTACTCATTTATGCAAAATTACTCATGGATGTTAATTTTTGAAATATTTCAAGCCCAGGACTTGCAGTGAGTTCTGCCTGTGAGCACAAGCCTATGGGTGTGATTCAGAACCAAGGCATGAACTGGGTGTGACAGGCAGAGCTGTGTCTGCACAAGCACAAGCTGCCCAGGTGCCAAGTGCACTGGGTGAAGCAGAAATGCCGTGGGAGGTCTGGGCTGTCTGGGCAGAGCCCTGGGAGCTCCACACAGGTGGGTTTGCAGCACAGCCAGCAAACCAAGGGCATCTGGTTGTGCCTGGGAGGGTCAGGTTGGACATCAGGAGGAATTTCTTCATGGAAAAGGTCTCTAGACCCTTGGAAGGGGCTGCCCAGGGAGGTGTGGAGTCCCCAGCCCTGGAGGTGTCCAAGGAACAACTCAGTGCTCTGGGCTGGGTGACAAGGTGGGGATCGGTCACAGGGTGGACTCGATGGTCCTGGGTTCCAACCTAAATAATTCTGTGATTCTGCAAGTTGTTCACCACTGAATTAATGAGGGACAATTAATTCTCATTGCTTATTGTCAATAACAAATGCAGCCAGCTCTGCCCTGAAGCAACCAGTGTGGTTATTAATGCTGAATATTCAGGCCACGAGTACAGACAATTACCCAGACCCCTCAAAGAGCCCAGAGATGCAAGGGGGCATTCTTTGATCCCAGGGTCTGTGGGAGCAAACAGCACTGCAGTGGGGCTGAAAAGATGTGAGCAGTGAACGCTCTGCAGGCACTTTCTCCACACACACCCCAGAGCTGTCGGCTGGGTGCTGCAACACTGCATTTCACTTCAGGCTGTGTTTAGACAAGCAACCTTGTACAGATCAAAGATATATTAAAAAAAAAAATCAGAAACTTTTATTTAGTTGTTACGTAATTAGTAAAAATTTAAGATATTTCAACTGTGAACACTGAAATGGTTCAACCACAGCGTGCCACTGACTTCAATAACAGTAAATCAGAGGGCTGGGGAAAAAGAAAGTGTTTTGCCTTTGCTGACATAATTTCACCAAATGACCTTTTTGTAGGGCTGCAAGATCGAAAAAATATGATGAGAGGGCAGAGCTGATTGCATTTCTCCTTAACCTTCTGTTAAACATTAGTAACTTCTTAACAGATCTCATTATTTTTAGGGATCAGCTCCTTAGCATGCCTTCCCTTTCAACCCAGCACTGTCTCTTTTGAAGTCAAACGTTACAATAAAGATTGCAGGCAGTATCCTATTTCAAAGCCACAGTGTCCTCGAGAACAGGTATTTCTTCCAGGCAAAGAGGGGCATGCAAATGAACGCAGGAAGGGGCTGGCTGCCTTTCCACTGCGTTGCAGACAACAAACGAGCTGCGTGTTCCAGCAACTTGAAAAACAAAATAAAAAATCCATGGATAAAAACTGTATGAGATGCAATGGTGCTTTTCACATGTAGTTCATCGATGTGCAATCCAAGGATGTGAAATTTGGGCACAGCTGTTGATGGGATCCAGCCACGCTCTGGGAGCAGAGGGGCTGAAGTGACACAGGAACCCACACCCTTGCAAAGAGAGTGTTAAATTCACCTTGCTTCAGGTTGCTCACAGAGCTCTGGTGTAATATTCTTTATTATAAAATCCCAGCTTTTCTGCTACAGAAAAAGATGAAAACACACCAACTGCAAACGCTGTGCCGTGTTCCCGTTAGAGATGCTGCACGAGGAGCTCGAGTAAATTAACTCCTCCACCAAACACGGGTTTTATGCAGACAGAAGAAAAAAAACCCCAAATTCCTGCTCCTTAATTACTTCCCCTGCATTTTCTCGTGAGGACTTCAGTGTCTATACACACGCGCGCACAAGAACGAACAGATCAGCTGCGTTATTTAACAGCTCAAAAAAGGCGCTGGGTTTGGTGTTTTTATTTTTTTTGGCCGCTCGATTGAGGCAGCCACAGGATTTCGGGCCGGTTGTAGAGGCGCCAGCATCCCTCGGCCGGAGCAGTTCCATCCTGCCCCGCCTGGCCGGGGACCAGGCGCGGAGGGCTCGGGGGTGTTCGGGCCGGGCCGGTGTCTGAGGCGAACTCCCAGAATATCCCGGCTCGGAGGGGACCCGCAAGGGTCGAATCCAACCGAGGACTGCCCAGAACGCCCCGAACTCCGCGCATTTTTGCCCCTCCGCGCCAGGGCAGGACCCTCGCGGGGCCCTTCGCGCCCGCGGTAACGCCCCGTGAGGGGCAACTCGAGGCGGCGGCGGCGGGTTTTAACTTCCCTCCGGGGCTCCCCTCGCCGCCCAAACCGCCAAACTCCCGGCGGCCGTTCCGGGCACCGGCCCAGGGGCCGTTCCGGGGCCGCCTCCCCGCGCCCCCGCCCGCTCCCCCCGCGCTCGGGCCCGGCCGGTGCCCGCGGGCGGTACCGGGCGGTGCCCGCGGCTCTCGCGAGAGCGGGGCGGGGCGGCCCCGGGGCGGGCGGCAGCGACGAGGAGGCGGCTCCGGAGCCCGCGGTGCCGCCCGCCTGTCACAGCGCCCGGGCCCCGAGCGCCGCCAGCACCCGGTGAGGGCCCGGGGAGGGGGGGGGGCCGCGGGCAGCGCCCCCGGCGAGGGGAGGGAAGGGGGGGACGGAGGGACGGGGGAACAGGGACCCGCCCGCCGCGCTGGGGCTGCTCCCCGGCAGCGGGCGAGGCCGGGCAGCGGCGCTCGGAAGGGGGTGGGTGCGCGGCGGGAGCGCGGTGCAGCCCCGCGGGGAGGCGGCGGGGCGGGCGCTGGCCGGCGGGGAGGGGCGCCCCGGGGGCAGCGCCGGGCGTTGTGGCGGCTCCCCCTGACCCGGCCCGGGGGTGCGGAGGAGCCGCAGGGCCGCGCCGGGCCGGGCCGGGCTGGGCGGGTCCCGCCGGCCGCGCTGGGCCGGTGGCGGGCGGGGAGCGGCGGCTCCATCTCCTCCTGGCCCTCCGCCCCCCGGCTCCATGGCCCCCGAGCGCTCCACCACCCCGCGGAGCTCCCTTTCCCCCCACCTCTCTCACTCTCTCCCCATCAGGGTCCATCTCCCCCCTGTTGGTCTCCATCCCCCCCAGCTGGGTTCTATTCTGCCATCGGGTCTCCCATCTCCCCTACCAGGTTTCTGTCCTTCTCAGCTGGGCTCCATCTCCCCCCAGCCGGGCTCCATCCCCCCTAACCGGGCTACATGTACCCTACCGGGCTCCATCTCCCCCCAAAAGGGTCTCCATCTCCCCCACCGCGTTTCCAGCCCCCCCACTCCCCGCGCCTGGCTTCATCCTCCTTAACTGGGCTCCATCTCCCCCGCTGGTTCTCCATCCCCCCCCAGCCGGGTCTCCATGCCCCCCGTCCGTCCCGCCGTGTCCCGCCGCTCCGTGCCCACCGCGGAGCCGCCCGGGGCGGGCCGGGCCGGGGCCGTGTTGAATCAGGCGATGCGGAGCGCAGGCTGTGTCTGTGTGTGCGTGCGGAGGTGGTGAAAGTGTGGCGGGGGAAGCGCGCTGGGTGTTTACTCCGGGGCTGGGCCGCTCGCAGGCAGCAGCAGCAGCAGCACAGCGGGGAGGAGGAGGAGGAGGAAGAAGCGGCGGCGGCAGCAGCAGCAGCGATGGCGCGGCTGGTGGCGGTGTGCCGGGACGGCGAGGAGGAATTCCCCTTCGAGAAGAGGCAGATCCCGCTGTACATCGATGACACGCTCACGGTGAGTTCCCCCCGCCGGCTCCTCGCGTGTTGCAACGCCCGGGCCGGGCCTTTTCCCCCTCCGGGCCGGGCCGCGCTGGCTCCTCGTTAATCGCGGGGACTTTGCGTTTAAACTGCGCTGCGTGTTTGGCAACTTTTGGCTTTTTTTTTTTTTTTTTGTTTTAATCTGATCCGCGGCTCCCCGAGGCGGGCAGGGCCGCGGAAAGAACGAGGGACTCGGTGCCGCGCTGGGGCCTGGGCACAACTTGTGTCGGAGCCACCGGCGTGTGTCGAGCCCAGAGGTGGAGCAAAGCCATTTTCCAGCCGAGGAGGAAGGGAGCCATGTTAACGTTAAAGCCCAGCTTAAAACCGTGTCTTTACTCCGCTCCTAAACAGGCCAGAAGAGGCTAAAGGTGGTTGTGAAACCTTTGCCTTAAAGTCAGGGTTATTTAGCGTGCAGCAACGTGCTGCTGTGTCTGCAGTATCTTAGGGAGTTTCCCATTTCGGTGTGTTTTTCTGAATTGGAAAACGTGGTGGTTTTTTGCTTTTTCTAGAATATTCAGTGGAAAAATCAGCTAAGTGCAGCTTGGAGGCTTTCTGATCCTTCTTCTGGGTTTAGAGGAAGGCTCAGAATTTGCATCGTGGGGGAACACATGGCAAAGTGAAAAAAATTCCCTGACTAGCCAGTTGTTGTTCGTTTTAATTTTTAAGGCGTGAAAATAGTGGGTAAAAAATAATATTGCACTTAGGTAGTGTAATTTGGTGTCTTAATTATTTGTATTTGATTTCTCTTGCTGTCAGTGTGACAGTACCTGCTGTTACTTTAAATGGTATAAAATGTGGGTGCTTTAAATTCCTGATCTCATGTTTAGTATGGAGGAATCCCTGAGTTTTATATCAGCTAAGTTGGGCAACTCTGTGATGTAATTTCTAGTGGAAGGTGTCCCTGCTCGTTGCAGGGGGTTGGAACTGGATGATCTTTAAGGTCCTTTCAACCCAAACCATTCAGGGATTCTTCCATCTTCCAGAACAAAATAATTGAGTATCTTCAGACTGTCCCTTACCCTCCATCCCACTGTTAAAAATTTTCTATTTTGACCTCCTCTGTTTTTGCTGCATCTGAAGAAAGGATCTTTGCTGTATTTTAATACTGATCATTTGAAGGGTGGCATATTATTAATTTACCAAACATCATCACTGTTTTTGGCTTTGTGTCATCTCTGTTAACCGTGCTCATACATGAGGCAAAGTTTCCCCCACAGTTGTCCAGAACAGTATCTATCTGTCCTAAAGGGATTTATGACCTGGAAAACCCAGCACTGTGCAGGAATAGTGTAAATTTGTGGGTTTGGGTGTCTCTGGGTCACGCCTTTTAAGTTATTTTACCCGTCCATTCCCCATGGAGTTTTAAGCTCTTGGATTTCTCTCTCTTTATTTTATTTTCCTTGGGCTCCCTGGTAAAAATTACCCACTAGCTTGTGTCATGTAGACTTGCCATGCTCTTGTTACCTTTGTTGTGTGTAATAGGTTGAGAAAGAGAGAGAATTCAGCTGTACCAGGCACTGGCAGATGTCTTCAGCAGGCCTAAAATTCTATTTGTGGTTTGATCCTGGAATTTTAAGGCCAGGCCCAAACTCTGTGTAATTGCACTGTGTTGTTACTGTCCTGCTGCTTTTTACACTGTCCTTGTGATTGAAAGGCTCCTCCAGCTGTAAATCAGTTTTGTATCCATGTGGAGGAGAGGCATTTATGCAAGTGCAAGTCATCCTTACCATGAAGAAATCTTATCTTGGGTCTATTTTTTTTCCCCCATTATTATTGTTACAAAGTGCTCGGATTTCTAGGTGGTTTCTGGAGGCTTTTGTTAAATAAATCTGCAGAAGCAAGTGAATGAACTCTCAGCTTCCTTGTCTGCCATCTATAATTTATTTTTTAAATCCTTAATGAGAACAAGACATGGAGCTGTCTTTGAAACAGAATTTTGCATCTGCAGCACTATCTGTAGAAAAATAGTGGTTATTGGGAGTAACTGGCTTCTGTTGACCTCATTTAAATCACAGATGCTAAAAGTAGTGGGACTAACAGGTCTGTTAGTCAGCTGGAAGACTTAATCTTAGCTTTAAATCTAGAATCAGTGGTTGTAAATTAGGAGTGAATGGCCAGAGTGCTCCTAAGCTTTGTAGTAGCACAGCAAGCAAGTTGAGGTGCAGTGAGATACTCAATGGGTTGTTCACCACCACACTGCTCAGCTCCTTCTGGCTCAGCTAGAAATGAAAAGAGGTTTGAATATTGAACCCTTTTCATTTCTTAAGCAGCTTTTATGATTTCTAGGAGGCATTCCATTTGATGTGGTATTATGGGATTTTTTTTTTTCCCTTCCCGTTCAGGGTGTGATGGTGGTTGATGTTTAACCACTTAATAAAATCTCAGCAGACACATGAATTAATTTAGCCTTTGATTCTTTCGCTCTGTTGTACAAAATACCTGAGGGTGTTGTCTGATAGTGGGAGATGAAGGTGAGGGGGGGAAAATAGGCAGATTTATCTCTTGCCTCTCTGTTATTAGCAGATAGAGCTTTTACTTTTGCTTGTAGCTCATGCCCCACAGAAACACCAAATTAACAGGGCAGGAAACCTGTAATTCTGCAGCAGAAACTGGTGCTGCTGCTCTGTGTGGATGGATCAGGGGCAAGGGAGGCTGGAAGGGAAATGCTTGAGAGGTTGGAGTTGGCACTGGCTGCCCTGCACGAAGATCAGGCAGCTGTGCTGATGCTCAGATCCTGGCACAGGGGAGAGCAAAATCCTGCCTCGCTTTCTGCCCCCAGAGGATGGGAGTTTATTTTGGAGCAGAGCTGAGAGCCTGGGAGAGCGAGTGTGTGAGTTCTCTGGAGGTAGGGGTGGCTCTTAGGCAGCCAGCAGGGAGTTCTACCTTAACTAGGCAGCTGAGGGAAGGTGGAGGGAGGAAAAGGGATGAATCAGGCAATTCTGGTTTCTGTTGATCAGTATTAGTTATTCACCTAAGTTGTCCTTTTACCTCTGGGATTTTAAAGTGAACTTTCACTATTCATATTGACAAATTCTCTTATTTCTCAGCTTGGACAAGAACATAACTAAGCCAGGCTTTACATGTTTTTCTAGTTGCTTTCATTTTACTCCACAGTTGCACAGTTGGATTTTCACCCGAAAATTATTTTCCTGATTTCTGCCCCTCCCCAGGAAAGTGCCCTCTTTGTTTCTCAGTAATTTGATAAGAAATATTATTAATTACTTGCAAGTAATCGCATTGTTCTGTAGGCTTAACATTTTACTCTGAGCCTCTTGAGAGTTGCAGCTGCAATCACACAAAACAAACTATGCCTTGGAGTACCTTGTTGGGTTAATATGGTTTTAAATTAGCCTTTGGAGGAGTCGACTCTGTCATTAAATTATTGTGGCTGTTTCTTCATAGCTTTATAAATTCAGTTTGGCTGTTGGATGCATTTGGATCTCAGTGTGTTGGAGTATATTATTTTTAAAAACTGAGACAGGGTCTCAAGCCATGTAGATAATAATATAAATTCTGATGGTCCATTTAGCAACTTTTGCTTTCTCTCTGACAGCTATTTAAGAGTTGCCATTTATAAACTACCTCTAGAACATTGTATTAATGAAATATTTATTACTTTGCTGGGACATTTACTATCTTAAACAGTGACTTTTATCCTTTCCCAAGCTCCAGTAATCGATGTGAAAAGTGTGAGCATTTAACATGATTTTTGTCTTATTTCTCCCAAGAAAGTAAAACAACTAATGTTCTGCATTTGGCTTTTCTTTTTTTTCTGAAAGCTCTTTTTGAAATTTTTTTCCCTCTCTTTTTACAGATGGTGATGGAATTTCCTGATAATGTGCTGAACCTCGATGGACACCAGAATAACAGTGCACAATTAAAGCAGTTCATTCAGGTAAATACCCGCTCCTGTTTTTTGCTTTCCTTGGGTTTGTGCTTTTGCTTCTCAAGAGGTTGTGACTCCTGGAGTGACTTAAGACACGTCAGCACCCGTGAGCAATCCTGTGTTGGTACCAAAGTGCACTGGGTTCCTTTGTTCCCTGGATTTCACAGCATTTATTACAGGTTGTCCTGTCAGGAGGCAATTGCTGTGTGTCTGGTTAGGATTGAAAACTTACCATGGAAACTACACTTTCTAAATACACTTTGATTCTTATTTTCCTAACTGGTTTTGAACTGCTTTTTCAAGTGGAAGTGGGCATTGCTTAAGGTTGAGTTCCTGTGGTTGGTGCCGTGCCAGGGTAGAATTCACGTGCCAGTTTATACATTGTGTGTAGTTGAGAAGTGAGAGATGGTTTTGTGGTACCCCTGGAAATAAAAGTGCAGCCCTGGAACACCTGTAGCAGCTGCAGGATGGTGCCCTTGGTGTCCAGAGGAGCAGCCCCATTGCAGGTCCTCTCTCGTGGTTTTACAGCATGTGCTGCATGTCAGAGGGAGCTGTGTTGTGAAAATAGCTCACTCCTGCTTTGCTGTGACTGGTGCCATTAATTACAGGAAAGAGGATTATTGCACAGTGATATTGCTTGTCAGATGATTTAATGGGCCTGCCTCCAGGAGCACAAACCTTAAATGTTACCTGGTGATAGCTCTATTTTCATAATGTGTTACATAAAAGGAGCTGAAAATATTTTCTCTTTTCGGCTGATGTGTTGACATGTTCCATGGGTTTGATGAGTTCTCTCATGTTGTGGGGCCTTTTCTTCCTTTCCCCAGAAGTTGTGACAAGGCATTTCTGCCCTGGGAGTGTTTTGAGTGGTGTGATGTGACAATAATACAGAAAACACTATCGTGGCAAAACGTTCCCAGTGCAGATCCAGCTGTGCTTTGTGCAACCAGGGCAAAGTGACCCTCAGTCAATAAATACACTGACAGGATTCTGCTCTGACAGATGATGTGGGGAAGTGCCAGTGGTGCTGACAGCCCAGGTGTAACTGTGTGTGTTGGTGTGTGAGGAAGGGACTCTCTCTTCTGCAGAGCTGTGCTGGTGGCAGTTCAGTGTTGATGAAACAGCAGTGAGAAGGACTAGGAGGGTATGTGCTTTTTTATGTGTGGCTGGATGTGTTTGACAGGGGGACCAGGAGACACATCTACAATTGTTTATTGGTGTCAGCAATATCAGAAGGTGTTGTCTTTAATGTTCTATGAATAGCACACATTGAGTGTTCACTACTGAAGTAGAATGTTTCACCCTGAGTAGCAATGTGTGCTTTCTTTGGTTTCAGCTGTTAGAATTGGAATGGGAACTGGCATTTGGTCTCCCAGGAAAAATATTGTTAAATTGTCTTGGTCCGAGCAGAACAAGTTTGTTGTAAATGAGATTTCCATAAATGCCAGCGAATCCATGAATTTCCTTTCTGTGTGCCAAAGCTGAGTGTGAGAGTAGAAGATGAAAACTCGTGAAACCCTTTCCTCAAACATCTGTGCTGAGGTGGAGAAAAAGGGTTTCGCGATGGGAGCGGGGGGAGACGCGACGTTTATCCCGAAGCAGCACTGGCTGGTCTGAGCGGGAGGAGGAGGAAACAAAGAGGAGGAAAATGTTCTGTGGCTGTTTTTAATGCTGGCACGTGTGGCTGTGTTGCAGAGACACAGCATGCTGAAGCAGCAGGACCTGAACATTGCCATGATGGTGACGTCGCGGGAGGTCCTGAGCGCCCTTTCCCAGCTGGTGCCGTGCGTGGGCTGTCGGCGCAGCGTGGAGAGGCTCTTCTCCCAGCTCGTGGAATCTGGGAATCCAGCGCTGGAGCCCCTCACAGTGGGGCCAAAGGGGGTTCTCTCTGTCACTCGCAGCTGTATGACTGATGCAAAGAAGCTTTATACACTCTTTTATGTGCATGGGTGAGTGTCTTGGGACTGCCCAGGGGAGAGGAAGGCTGCTGTCTGTGCATTTCTCTGTGCTGCCTTCCTGGGGACACTAAATTGTCACAACCTTGAATCTTAGAGTACATCCTTGTCATAGAATCATAGAAGGGTTGGAAGGGACCTCCGAGATCATCAAGTCCAACCCTTGATCCACTACTACTGCAATTGCTAGACCGTGGCACTGAGTGCCACATCCAGTCTTGTCTTAAAAACCTCCTGGTCTTTTATATCCATGTTAAACTAGTTATTACCTAAACTGGGAAAAAGCAAACCCAAAACTTAATCTTTGGTATCACCAGTTGCAATGCCACGATTGCAGTTAAGAGGTACCAATATTTAAATATTGGTATCTATAAATATAAATATATTCGGCCATGAATCTGACACAGACACTGTGGGGTTTTTGTGGTGTCTGGAAGAAGAGTGATTGTTTGCCTCGCTACTTGGCATGGAAAAAATAAAACAAATTAATTAATACCTGCCCACCAAAACTTTGTGTTCTTGGGTAGAAAGGTAACCCTGAGAAAGTGAAACCTTCTGGGTTTGGTGAGCACAATAAATAGCCCCAGTGCCATTAGTTTCTCAGCTGTCAGCAGAGCAAACAGTGAGTGCTCAACACGCTGTGCCCTGGCCTTCCAGTTGGCTTCAGCTCCTTCTTCTTGCTCCAGTGAGCAGGAAAAGTAGGGGAGGTCAGTGCAGAGCTGAGGAGATGGGGATCTGGGAGCGAGGTAGTGTAAGAGCAAGTGCTTTCCAGAATCCTAAACTGGTTACATTTCTTTTTCCATAGGTCCAAACTGAATGACATGATTGATGCAATTCCCAAAAGTAAGAAGAACAAGAGATGTCAGCTACACTCCCTGGACACACACAAACCAAAACCTTTGGGGTGAGTTCTGATTCAATCTCGAATATTTTAAGGAACCAAAGTATTGATGATAATTTATTTTTAAGCATTGAGATCAATTCTTACACAGTGATCTGTTTGCCAGAGTTAGCTGGATTGTAGCAGACCCAAATAGTTGTGGGGGAGAGGAAGAGAAGCACCAGTGGCTTCTGCACTGTGATGGAAAGACAAACTGGTTTTTATGCTCTAGACTGAAAGGATTGATCAGCAGATTTTTCTCACACGGAGGTGAAAGAGTACATGCTAAACAAATATACATCATTTTGCTTGGGATTATTAAAAATGCCTTGCACAACTGTTAATCAAGGGCTTTATTGTGGTCGGGTGCAGGGTTAAAACTGGGACTCAATGAAATGTGTTTTCTCAAAATGTGACAGCATGTTTTGAATACACCACTGAAAAATATGCATATATACCAACTGGTTAACCAGGAAAACACTCCCTGTAAAGCTGTTGTGGATTTTGGAAGTGGTGTTTTTTTGTTGGGTTTGGTTTTTATGGGTTTTTTTAATGATATGATGACCAATAAATTGGGCTCTTGTGCTTGGCTGGAGTGTCTGGACCTTTTTTAGTCAGTTGTGTTCTGCTCCTGGTTGAGTGTACAACCTGTGAAAGTTGGTTTCCAGTTACAGGACATGTATTTTTCTATGCAGATTTGAGTCCCTTTGGGTTCAGTTAAATCCCCTGGGATATACCAGGCATGTGGAATTTGACACTCGATTTTTGCTTGTGCTCCCTCAGCATAGTGGTAACTAATAATTATCTCCTATTATATTTTGGTTTACAGGCCTTTCATATAATTAGTTTAAAGCTTATGTTACACAGGATCATGAAGGTATAGGGGTATATATATATTTTTTTAAATAAAGCAAATTCATAGCATTATGAGAGCAGGTTTTGGGTTTTTTTCCTTATCTTTAATAAGTTCAATCTTTTCTGTGTGAGAACAACCTGCAGTTGGCATTTTGGCAGAACAGTTCTCAAACTGAATGAATAGAGAGGAGAACTCTGCCTTTAGTTCCTTAATTCATGTTGGAATAAATCCCTTTAGTGTTTTGGATGCAGATTAATAGGGAATATGTGGAAGAGGAATATTTTATTATAGTGCAAGGAAAACTTTGGGCTTTCTCAGGTGACGTGGTTTGCTAAAGAAACATGACTTGCACTCCCTTTGTGCTGTGCAGAAGTGCCCAGGATGTATCAGCACTGATATTTCTCCAAACAAATCTTCCTGCAGTGGCACAAACCCACTCCAGCTGTGCCGTGGACTCATCCAAGGGAATTGTCTCACGGATCAAACCTTATTAATCAACGTAGAGCTACTTCTGCACAAGAAACTCCTGCAGATGAGTTGCATCTGTTGGGCATTTCACGCACACAAAAAGGGCTTTGAGTTGTAATTGTGTGTTTAATTAGAGGGGTTATGTAACCAGCTAATTCCACTCGAGGGTTGCTCGACGTGCTCCGTTTCAGTGTCCCTGGGTCATTCGTGGCTGCTCGGTGCCATTTGGGGCTCCAGGAGCATTTTAAACTCTGAGAAATGCAGGCCCTGTGCTCTGGCAAACGTGATCATGGCATATATAACTACTCCAGTTAGGAAATAGGGGTGCTTCCTCCCATTTTTCCTGCTGTGTTGTGTCCATCCATGAGCTCACGCAGAAGTGATGAAGTGTCGAGTGTAGACAAGCCTGTGAGTAAACATGACATGGGATTTAAAGTTTTTTCTTTGCTCTATAATGTACTTTTAGCTTATCCAATAACTTTGTTAAGTTATTTTGGTGTTTTTCTGGCAAATTTTTGAAACTTAATATAGGGTGTTTTATGTTTTTTTTTCTGGTAGTGGACGTGTGGAATTTGGGGATTTTTTGTTTTGCTTTTTTCTTTTGTTATTTTAGTGAATTATCTTGTGAAATTTAATCTTAAAACTTACATATGTTTAAAGTAATATTCTGAAACATTACTACTGGTTTTCAGCTGTAACTTTAAAAAGTCATGATGAGTCTGGATTATAAAAATGGACAACAAAATTTGCACCTCATGTCTGACCCAAACTTTCTTAGAAGTTAAGGCTTAACCTGTAGAGAATTCAAAGTAAATTAAGGAAACACAGCAGCATTTTCATAGGATTTGCTTAGGAAAAATAACTAGTTCATAATATATATATGTTATAGGTCTGAAAAATGTTTGGTAATACTATGTGACAGTGAAGGGAGCAGTAACAGACTCAGTACAAAGAAATTAAAGGCAGTTAAAAGTAGAGAAGACAGGAGGAGGAGGAAAGAGAGCAAGTGTAGCATCATTTTCTGCTATGGACCTTCCCAGGGAGCAGTCAGGTAAACCAAAGAGGCTTTGCTTTGCTTCTTTCCTAACCCCCCCCAGGATAATGTGCAGCCTTTTTGTCTCCTCTGATTGTTCTGCAGGGGCTGTTGGATGGATGTGTGGGAGCTCATGTCCCAGGAATGCAGGGATGAAGTAGTTTTAATCGACTCTAGTTGTCTTCTAGAAACGTTAGAAACCTACCTACGAAAACACAGGTACGTGACAGGAACAGAGGGTTTGTTTTCAGCAAGACACCTGCAGTTTAAAAAATGCAATAAATGTGTGATAAGTGTGTTCACACAGCGTTTAAATGTGTGGAGGATTCTTATGCCGGCCTTTTAAAAGTGAAATCTCGGCTTGGTGGTGACAGAGGACCCTGCAGGTTGCATTGGGGGCAGTGGATGAGACAAAGATGGTGAAATATTCTTTGTGTTTCACCTGTTGCTCCAGGTTATGGTGGGGGAAATGTGGAGGCCTCAGGTGAAGTCATAGCTGCTTGTCTTCATTATTTTGGTTAGGATTAATTTACAATTTAATGTGTTAAAACTGTGTCTATTCATTCACTCTTTCACAAGTAGCCCACTCTAGGATTATGCTCTTAGGCTTTCATGGAGTATGTGCCAGTTCAGCAGCAGATTTTAGGCTTGGTGTTGCCTGTAAATCACTGTTGTAAACCAGCTGTTTATGACTTGCAGTGCTGGTGCTGTTAAGTCTCTCTTGCAGGGCAGAAATAAGCCACTAAATTATAGTTGCCTGTGTGCAGTAGCTGCTGTGCTGATTAAAAAGTTTTCGTTTCCAGCAGTCTCAAGGTTCTGATATGAACTGTGGGGGCACAGATGGGTGCGGGGGTGGCGGTGCTGTGGAAATAACACTTTGGAAACAAAATAACTTTAATCTCCTGTGACATTAAACAGGGCTTTGGCAGCGTTCCTGCTGCTAACCTGCAATAATATTGCTGTTTTCTTTGCTTTCACCACCGAAACTAGGCAGGTACCGTAGTTCTGTCACACAGCAAAGTGTGTTTGACTTGGTGTTGTCAAGCTGGACACACTAGGAAAGGGAAAAACACCATCCAGGGCTGGCATGGAGAGCCAGTTTTTCAAGCTGAAATGTGAGCAGCTTGTCTGACTTGCATTTTTGGAGTAGTGCAGCAAGAGGTTTTGTAGCTTCTTGAAGGTTACTCCTCTTATAACATAGAATGAGCTTAATTTGGTTGCATTTTAATTATAACAGACTTTGTAACTGTGCTCTTCTCACACATGAGCTGTCACATGTTTAAAATGAATGCGTGGTGTTATAAATAAACCTTGTTTGGCTATCAGCACAGTAATCTAATAATTCAAAATATGCTTAAAGGTGTTTGCAGTCGAAACAAACACTGCTCTTGTACAGCAGGGGCAACAGAGGAAACTTATTTCTTATCACTTGAGTACACTTTAAATAATTGCTGTAAGGTAACTTGGAGTGTGTTCCTTGAGAGGGATTTTGTCCTGACTTGTACTAAGGATTCAGCTTGTTCACTGTTAGATTTCTGATCTTTGAATGAAGGTGGAATTGCATATCCATATCCATGTAGGAACTTCTTGATATTAACAATTAGCTTATCTTTTGCTTTGGAGCATGAAAGTTTTGATACCCAGACTTCTGTATATGGTAGGTGGGATAATTCATAGAGGCAATTTATTATGGAATCCCTGAATGTGCTGAGTTGGGGGGACCCACCAGGATCATCGAGTCCAACCCTCAGCCCTGCACAGGCCCATCCCCAAGGGTCACCCCCTGTGCCCCAGAGGATCATCCAAACCCTCCTGGAGCTCTGGCAGCCTTGATGCCCTGGGGAGCCTGTTCAGTGCCAACCACCCTCTGGGGGAAGAACCTTTTCCTGAGATCCAACCTGACACAGATCCAGCCATTCCCTCATGTCCTGTTTCTGGTCCCCTCAGAGTAGAGATCAGTGCCTGCCCCTCCTCTGCCCCTTTGGAGGGACTTCTAACTGCAGTTACAGCCGAAATGTTGTTATTTTACCTTTTGAAGTGGCACAAATCTCCCGTGCCCCCGTTCAGGCGGGGTCAGCCGGTCGGTCGGGTCCGACGCCCCGCTCGGACGGGAGCTCAGCTGTCCTGTGCTTCCCCCAGGTTCTGCACTGACTGCAAGAACAAGGTGCTGCGTGCCTACAACATCCTGATCGGGGAGCTGGACTGCAGCAAGGAGAAGGGTTACTGTGCTGCCCTGTACGAGGGGCTGCGCTGCTGCCCCCACGAGCGCCACATCCACGTGTGCTGCGAGACCGACTTCATCGCCCACCTCCTGGGGAGGGCCGAGCCCGAGTTCGCAGGAGGGTATGAGTATGTAATTGGCTAGAGTGGGCTATCTAGCGCTTTGCTTCTTTATTTTTACCCTTCAATGTCTCTTTTGCCAAAGTGGTTTTTTGTGCCTCCTCGCTGCGTGATGAACCCGTGACTGTGAACGTCGGGAGACTCTGGAGGTGGCGATTCCAAGTAGCCGAGGTTTCATCTGTGCTTTTGACTTTTAAAAGTGCATTTAAAGAAAGGAATTGCCCAGTGTCTCCTGGTTCACTGTTCACTGCTTGTCCGTTGGGGTGTTCAAATATGCGAAATAGAAAGACAGCCTTGGTTGACAGTTCTGCCAAATGCCAAGTGTTCAGGTTAATTTTGTTGCCATTTATGTGTTATGGTACTTTCTGAACCTGTTTTAGCATCTTAAAACCTCCCAGTGAAAAGTACAGTTCTGAGCTCAATATCATAGAATGGTTTGGGTTGGAAGGGGCATTAAAGGTCCTTAAAAGGGACCTTCCTAGTTCCAACCCCAATACCTTTAAAGCTCAGTCACAACTGTTTAATTAAGAGGGTCAATCCTTTTATGATGATTTTCCCTCAGTAGATGATAGATTGAACAGGTTGAGAGGTAATGGATTGATAATGAACAGATTAATACTGAAATGTTTTTGCTTTGTACGGTAAGTAATGTTTAAAACTTCTTTGTGTGTTTATCCAACTTCACTTAAGTGATGGTGAAATATTTGCTGCAAACTCAATGCAAATTTTAGGAAACAAAAGAACACATTAAAACTGCTGCTCCCTCCTGGTGAGGGCAGGGAGTGATGGGGTGACTCCTGAAGTCCGAGGTGGGAAGGCACAGAGCTGTTCACCAGCACAATGAGCCCGTCAGGAGCTCAGTGGTGGCTTTGACCTGGTCCTTTCTATTTTGCATCCGCATGCAGCAACAGCAGAGCCAGGGCGAAAGGCTGCTCGTGCAAACATAACCTGCAGCTGCACCCACACCAACACTGCTTTGATCTCTGGGTTGGCTTCCAGCTGCTTTAACAACTCTGTGCTTTGGTTCCACTCCCGTGCAGGCGCAGGGAGAGGCACGCCAAGACAATAGACATCGCCCAGGAGGAGGTGCTGACCTGCCTGGGCATCCACCTCTACGAGAGGTTGCACCGGATCTGGCAGAAGCTTCGGGCCGAGGAGCAGACGTGGCAGATGCTCTTCTACCTGGGGGTCGATGCCCTGCGCAAGAGCTTCGAGGTAAATCGAGTTTTGTCTGGCTGTATCTTAACTCTCATTTTCACTACAGTTCTTTTTTTCTGCTTCCTACACATGTAGGAAGTCGCAGGCAGTGACTCCTCGTTGTGTGACATCCCTGCACAGCACAGCTGTGTTCTGATGTGAAATCTACTGGAAAGGAAAAGATTGAGCCTTGCTTTTACTTTCAAAGCTGCATGTTATAGTACACTGAGCCTTCTGTGTTTTTAATTCACAGTTATTTCTGTGTTCTTCTTTAAAGTAGGTCAGGTTGCAGCAGTTTTTATTTGGTTTATGAGTAAAACTGGAGGATGTGCCTTTGAATTACAGACATGATTGTTAACTCCTGCATTCCATGTGTTCCAAATGCACTCTGTGGCATCTTGAGGTTCAGACAGAACCCCACGTGGTTCCTTTAACATATACCAGTAGTTCATATTAGTTGGTATGACAGATATGACAAATCTTTTTTGTTACCTTTATCTTCCCTTCATAATGACTGTTTTTTCTCAAAACTTCTAAAACATCAGAGAAGGAAGAAGAAAATCAGTTTGGGAACGGTCAGAGTGGAACCCTAAACTAGTTCTTGGAGTTTTTTTACAAGTAATTTGTTTTTTAAATACTAAAAAAGATATGGAAGTTGCCTTGGACTGGGAACGCTTCAGCATTTGTGTCAGGCTTTGTCTTGGTGGGGTTTTAAACTAGTAAAGTATGGAGTTGAAAATCCACTGACATTGTAAAACTCAGGGAATTTTACTGGTATGCAAGGATGGGTGTGAATTTGAAATACAGAACTTATGTGGGGCTCTTTTCTAAGATGAGTAGGAATGATGGAGACTCATTTTGGCTAAAGGAATTTCCAGAGTGATTTGGGAAAAATAACCCCAAAACAAAACCAAGCCCTCTGAATTTATTTTTACCTCTGTAAGATCATCAATCCAGAATAGTTGACTAGTTTAATTATATTCTATTAACTCTGTACATAGATGTGGCATTATGATATTTGTTCTAAATTTAGTATTAAGGAACTTAATTAGATACTTGCTATATTTTGAGATACACCTACACTTCAGGTTGGACTGCCTAGGGAATGAGTAGTTTTTTCACTGCAGGAATTCTGTACCAGTAGTTCTGATGTGGCTTTTTTGTGCTGCTGTGTTAAATAATCAGAGTATCTACCACGTAAACAGATCCCAAAATGCATAAAATTCAGCAGCTTTTCACTGAAAATTGTGAATCTGGCTGTGAGTGAAACACAGAGCTCCTCCATACAAATATCTTCAGCAGTCTGAACTGAGGGAATAAATCTGGATGGGCATTTTTCTTCTGTAGTCAAGAGTTGTGTTGCTGGGACTTTATGACTGGCTGCTTTCCTCCTCCTTTTTTTATAAATGTGAAAGCTTGAATTGTGATAACTGCTATAAATAGATCTAACCTCTTGCAAACAGATGGCTGTGGAAAAAGTGCAAGGTATTAGTCGATTGGAACAGCTCTGTGAAGAATTTTCAGAAGAAGAAAGGGTGAGAGAGCTGAAGCAGGAGAAGAAACGCCAAAAACGGAAGAACAGACGGAAAAATAAGTGTGTGTGTGAGATCCCTGCTCCTCTGCAGGCAACAGAAGAGAAGGAAATCAATCAGGCAAAGGTAAGCAGGGCTTTCAGGTGCTTCATTCATCAGATCTCTGTTCGTGGTAGGATTCCTGAGAGGTTTTTATTGTATTTTGGGAACTAGTTTTGGTTACTGGTGGAATTTAAAACTTTTTCAGATTAGTACAGTCTTGGTAAAGTAGTTACCTGGAACTCCTCAGCTTTTGGGGGCTCGGTGTTTCTTTTTTTAAATCCTAAATCTGGGGTTTAGCTTATGCCAGAGTATTTTTCAGCTATAACTTCTTCAAGATCACTTAATACAGGAAATCAAATGCTACTTGTAGACAATTCCCACTGAACTTTTGGAGAGGAGGAAGCTTTAATTGACTGAGTAAGTGCAACTGTTATTCAGGATGTGTTGACTGAACTTAGTTGACTGTAGGTCAGATTATTGTAGGAAAGTTGGTTGGAATTTGTTTAGTTGTCCTGTGTTTGTGAAGAATTCGAAGCAATGCTGTTATCAGTCAGTGCCAGCTGGTTTTTGTTGTGGAAGGAGTATATCCTTTGCAAAGCTGCTTTCAGTGCCTGCAAGTGTGTTTTGTTTCTGCTTTAAGGAGAACTCCAACTTCACAGAAAGCAGTTGCAAAGCCTGTGGTAGCACCGAAGAAGCCAACAACTGTGTAGAAGTAATTGTTACTAATGAAAGCACCTCTTGCACTTGTCCTAGTAGTGGTACCCTATTAGGTTCACCTAAAATCAAGAAAGGTATGTTCATTGTTATGATTTTTCATTTTTAAAAAAAAAGTTTGCTTTTTAGGGGTAAACAGGGCTCAGCTGTTTTTTTAAAAACAATTGGGTTTTTGGAGAAATGGAAGTGGAAAGTTCCCTTGGTGGTGGAACGAGACGACTTTTAAGGTCCCTTCCAACCTGAACCAGTGTGGGATTCTATGAATTCCTTTTTGTAGAGGCATAACTGAAGAACATGCAGCAGTTCCTGTAGATGACAGTGATTTTTGGCTTTGCCTCAGGTTTATCTCCACACTGTACTGGCAGTGACTGTGGCTATTCATCGAGCATGGAGGGCAGTGAAACGGGGTCTCGGGAGGGCTCAGATGTGGCCTGCACCGAAGGCATCTGCAACCACGATGAAAATGGTAGGTGTGGGAAGAAGATAATAATGCTTTAGTATCCCCAAACCTGCAGTATCTTAGAATAAACGTGCCTGCCTTTTGCAGGAGATGATCCCTGTGTCCATCGCTGCGACGACAAGGAGGAGGATGGGGACAGCTGTGTGGAGTGCTGGGCTAACGCGGAAGAGAACAACACAAAAGGCAAAAACAAAAAGAAGAAAAAGAAAAGCAAAGCTTTGAAGTGTGAGAATGACCATGTAAGGACCAGATGCTTCTCTAAATGCTTATGTTTGAAAGTAGTTACGGGAGGATTTTAAGTCTTGTTTGTGCTTAATGCTGAAAACGGGGTAACAGGGATCTCCTGTTCCCTCTCCATCCAAGTTTTGGAATCCAGGTCCTTCCTGGAGTAGGTTGTGGTGGAAGGAGTCTCTACTATATTCCTAAGCATGTGCACTTTTGCTCACTCTCAGTCAATTAACATCCCTGCCCATCCCAGGCACACATTTAAAAACCCCCATCCTTGCTCTCCTTTGAACTCTCCCTTTTTCCCCTCTGCTTCCACCCGAAACTTGAACGTTCCGTATCAAATACCACGGGTAGTTCACTCCAGGCTTGTTTTCCATTTCAGATTCAGAAACTTGGAAGCTGTCTGGCAGATCCAGGTACCAGAGAGACCTCAGGGAATCTCACGCACACAGAGTTCCACCGCGACAAGACCAAAGACACACACGCCGAGAGCTGCTGTAGCGCAGACAAAAGCGGCCAGCAGTTGCCTTGGTTTGAGCATATGAAAAACGTGTCACAGTTTGCAGAACCTACAGAAATGTCACTCGTTCCTGATACTGGAAAAGGTGCCAAAAGCTTAGTGGAACTCCTTGTAAGTAACGGCTCCCTTGGAGTTGGAGGTTGGAGCGTCCTGCTTTTAAGGCTCGGGCGGAGGGTGGGGCTTAGAACTCAAATCCCACCGAGGAACTGTTGGGCTCAAGGCTCCCAGTGTTTAGTTTGTTTGCCTGATGCACGTTCTCTGGGAAGTTTATAGCTGAAATGCTTTGCAGGGGAGGAGAAATTGTCACTGGAATGCAGTGGCAGAAGTGTTCATTGTCAAGGGTTGCATTATTCCGTTACATGAAGTGGGCATTATTGCTGCCCTCAGGCCTCAAATGTTACTTCCCACTGCAGGCTCCTTGGACAGCTTTCTTCCCTCCCCCTTTCCATCTCCTTCCCCTTATTTAGATCCTTTCCTCATTCTTCCCCCCCTTTTTCCTCTTTCTTTCCTTCCCTTTTCCTTTTACCCTGCTTTTTTTCCCCTCTTCCCCCTCCTCCTTTTTTTTTTCTTCCTCTTTCTTTCCCCTCCTTTCCCCCCAAAACCTCTAACGAAAATCATCCTCTTCCCATGGAAATGTGAATAATTTCATGACTTTGTGGCTGCCTCTCACCCCAGAAGCAGCAGAGCCCTGTTGTGTGGGTTGGGTGGCTGGATGAGCCCCGTGGGACTGGGGCTGTGTGTGAGCAGCTGCAGCTCTGAAATCCCCGTTTCCCCTTCGCAGGACGAGTCCGAGTGCACTTCTGACGAGGAGCTGTTCATCTCCCAGGACGAGATCCAGTCCTTCATGGCAAACAACAAGTCTTTCTACAGCAACCGGGAGCAGTACCGGCAGCACCTGAAGGAGAAGTTCAACAAGTACTGTCGCCTCAACGACCACAAGGGGCCCGTCTGCAACAGCTGGCTGGCAACAGCTGGAGCCAACTGAGCCCGGTCCCCTCTCTGTCTGTCACTGAAACTCGAGATGACTACTGCGCCTTCTCCTTCCAGACTTAATTTAGTGACTTAACGGCAAAATTTTATCTTAAATTAATGTGATTCTTTTTTTTTCTTGGTTTTTTTTTTCTTTTTTTTTTTTTTTTCTCCTCTGGGGGAGGCTGGTGGAGGTGATTTCCTTAATTTTGTTCTTTCTCCAGGCTTGTATCTTTAGTTGAGTAGCTGTGCAAGCCTCTCTTCTAATTTAAGCCATCTCTTTTCATTCAATGTTTCTCTTCCTGTGAGACTTACAAAGAAGCAAACTAGTGGCAAAGTAATGTTGTACCTATAATTCTGTACAGAATGACAAGGAGCTGAATATAAGATTTTACAAAGTAGACATCCATTTGCAAAATGTTTTGGATGTAATATGTTAAAGCGCAATGTGCAAAATTTAAATAAAGAATATTTATTAATATGCATAGTAAAAGTGGGTGTCTATATTTGTACTCTGAGCACTCCTTCCCAGCAGGATGAATTCCTGCTGGTCACAGGGGGATGGCTGTGTGGAGGGGGGGTGTAAGGTGAGGAAACCTGGCCTGGGAAAGGACAGATCCTTGCAAAAAGCAGTGGGCCAGGCTCTGTGCTTTTGGGGGCTCACTGCCCCATTTTGAACAAAGAGAATCACCAACTCCCCACCCTTTCTTCTTTCATAAATATCTCTACGTCAGACTTTTCACATGTTTGGATTTTTTTTTTGTTTCTATTAATCTGTTTCTTCGCAAGTCTCTGGGAATTACTTGGGCATCCCTGACCTTTGTGAGGGAGTTGACAGCACCTTCCCAGAGCTGCTCTGCCCTCTGATCCCTCCACACCCATTTTCTCCTCCCCAATCCCACACTCAGCTGGGGGTTGTTTGCAGGGTCTCTGCTCCGTTATCCATCCCTGCGCCCCCAGGGGAAGAGGGGGAAAAAAAGCGGGGGCAAGAGGAAAAGGGAAGGAAAGAAAGAGGAAAAGGGGGGGGAAGAAAGAGGAAAGGATCTAAATAAGGGGAAGGAGATGGAAAGGAAAGGGAGACAGGAGACAGCTGGATAAAACAGCCCAGGTTTTTTCTGGGATGCGGGGCGCTAGAACACGCTGCCCTTCGAGCTCCCTCCCACCCCAAACCCTTCCACGGTAACTCTCATTTTCCGCGCTGGGGCTGAGCCCCCGCAAACTCAGCGCATGCACCGGGAGGGGGGCGTGTCCCCGCGATGGGCGTGTCCGTGTGATGGGCGTGTCAGTGGGCGTGTCCCGCGGGGCGGGGCCGGCGGGCGGGCGGTGCATTGTGCGCGGCGGCGGCGGCGGGGCCGGGCCGGGGCCATGGAGCGCTGGACCGGCCGCGTCGCGCTGGTCACCGGCGCCTCCGTGGGCATCGGCGCGGCCGTGGCGAGGGCGCTGGTGCAGCACGGCATGAAGGTGGTGGGCTGCGCCCGCAGCGTCGACAAGATCGAGGTACCGGCACCCCGGGGGCGGGGGGGGAAGGAACGGGGGCGGGGGCGACTCCCCCCCCCGAGGCCGCGCCGGCGGCGGGGCCGCTCCCCGGGTCACCCTCGCCGTGTGCCCGAAACCCCCCTTTCCGGCGATCCCCTCCCTCCATCCCCCTCGTCCTCCATCCTCGCATCCCCGCCCGGCCCCGGGCGCTCTCTCCCGGAGCCCCCGGCCCCGACGGGAGGGTGGGAGTTGCCCGAGCGAGGAGCGCGTTCAGTTTTGGGGTTTTTTGTTGGTTTTTTTTTGGAGACGCTTCTTATCGTGGTTAAAAATAGTACCTGCCCGACCGGCCCCGGGAACGGGAACGGGCTGCGCGGGGTTTGGGGCTTCCAGCCCTTCGGCTGTTCGGGAGACGGGATATTTTTGTGATTTAATGATGAAACAGAGTTTCAGCCCTTTGGGGTCCTCGCCCCGACGAGGAACATCGCTAAAGCCGCGTCAAAAACCTCACGGCGTTGGCTTGAAAATAAAGATGCTTGAAAGAAGTGTTTTCTCTCGATCCTTCTTGTATTTGGGTGCGTTTTGTCGGCTCTGCCTTGCCGTGGCATGAGATAAGGCTTATTTGCTGTTTAAGAAGTTTCCACTGAGGTAGGAAATAAGTTGTAGTCAGCTTAAATATTGCCGTGCTGGTTGTTTGGTGCCCACGGATGCAAAGGAGATCTGTACAACATCCAGGGGTTGTGTTTCCTTGGCCAAGGTGATAAGGATTCACCCTGACTGTGCCAAGAATAAATTGTCCAAAACTCACGGGAACCAAAGCTTAGCATTGGTGGTGGTGCTGAGTGGGGTTGAGTAAAGGAATGCTTGGAAGAAACCAGACTTTCCCCCCTTTTTCACTGTGAATCAGAAAGATGCCACTTGCAGAGAGAACACACCAACATGACTTATTGAACTGTCCTTTGGGGCTTGCTTCTAATTTTGGACTTCCCAGCTTTTTTGCTGCTGTGGTTTGCAGCGAAAGCTGAGCTCTCCAAAGGCTCTCCCACGTGCAGCTGACGGTGTTTAATGTGCTTCCGCAGCCTGGGAGGCTCCTGGAGCCCCACGGTGCCTGGCAAGGGATGCTGTAAAGGATGTTGTTGTTTCCCGTTCCCCTCCAAAAAAAGACAACAAAGTTATTTCCAATATTGCTGTTTCCAGTAGTGCCTTTTCCTTGGGTTTTGTTTTGGAATCTTTTCGCTTGGTAAAGAAATCAGTGAAACTTGCTGTTTTCCTTCGGTGCTGCAGAAGAGTTTCCTTCCTTTCTGAGCCTTTTCTGGCCAAAACACAGCATGGATTTAGGAATGAGAGTTCCTGTAAAGGCTTTGCCTTTCTGTTTGACTCTGCACCGGGTGCAGCCAGGCTTGGCTCAGTGATTTCTGGGGTTGCAGGGGGTGCACAAGTGCTGAGAGGTGCTGGGGCTGCTCACACCTCCCAGCCCTCTTGTCGTGCTTCAAAAACACGTGTTCCCAGGGCAGCTGATGTTTGTCCCTGTTTCCTCCCTCTTCTTCCCTGGGACCGAGGTGTGTCTGCAGTGTGCTGTCATTTGTTTTGGTGGGTGTCTGGACTGTGTCTTGCTCCGTTGCTATTCTGGGTTTATTTATTGTGGAGCATGTTTCCTTAACGAGGAAGAAAATCCCAGAAGCGCTGCCTGCTCGGGAAAGGGAAGGTGGTGGAGCGTGAGGTGACCCAGGGTCACTCTGGGAACAGGTCCATCACCTCGGCCTGGCTGCCAGGGACGCTGTGTCAGCACAGATGGGGCTTTGTACCAGCTCCATGCTTCAAAATGAGAGCTGAGCTTTCCTCCAGGTGCTTCACCTTGGGGCTTTCCTTTAAGAAAAAAGGAAGATATTCAGCCTTAGGACTGTCGAGCTGCCGCCGAGGGTTGGGATTTCTGGCTGTAAGAAGCCACGTCAAGGAGCAGGAGCTGGTGTTGGGTGTGAGATGACCGTGCTGTGGCTGGCACTGTGGGTGATGCCAGACCCCATCCCTGGAGCTGCTGCAGGGCTCCTGCCCACTGGAGGGGCATTGGATGCTCCGGGCAGGAGAAGGAGATGGGAAGGGCTGTGCTGTCAGTGCCCCGTGAGCGTGTTCTTGCCTTGGCTGGTTGCTGCATAACCAGAGTCATACACAACCTCCACTCCTCTGCTCCTCCTGGTTTCCCAAGTCAGGAGGATGGTATCCGTGCAGGAATCCTTGCTGGGGATTCCAGGGATGCTCCAATTTGGGAAGCACAGCTCAGATATAAAGGGCAGGATGAGGTTGCAGTGCTGGCGTCTGGGGCTGGAATGTGGTGATGGAGGGACAAGAGGAGAGGAATATGAAGGAGCTGAGGGGGTTGGTGTTGCCAGCTGAGGGGGTTGGTGTTGCCATGGAATCATGGAGTCATGGAATGGTTTGGGTTGGAAGAGACCTTAAAACTCATCCCTTTCCCCCCATGCCATGAGCAGGGACACCTTCCACTATCCCAGGTTGCTCCAAGCCCTGTCCAACCTGCCTTGGACACTTCCAGGGATGGGGCAGCCACAGCTGCTCTGGGCAACAAAGTGGCTGCAGGACAAATCTCGTTGCTGTATTAAAACTGAATAATTTGCTAAATACCAACGTGGATGATGTTGAACATGATGATGTTCAGAGGAGCAAACCCAGAAAAATATAACGAGGCAGCTTAAAATGGAAAGGGGGCAGAGAGTAGGGTTTAAACACAGGAATACAATCCTGACTTTTTGGCACAAAAGCATCTGTTTTCATCAGTGTTCTGCACGAGTCACCAATTTTAAGGTGAAGTGGCTGGAACCCCTCTGTGTTGTGGTTTTACAACCCACAGTAAACTGGTGACTGAAAGAGCAGGTTGTCTCGTGGGGGGATTTTAGCTCGGGCAATAAACACTATGTCAAGATTTCTTAATCTCTTGGAAAATCAGATAAGGGCTGGAGGCAAGATAACAAAGGAATTGCAAAGTTGCGGGTTTGGCACTAAACCCGTGTGGGGACCCCAGTGCTCTTTATTTGACTTTTGAAATAAAAACGTTAATGCTTAAAAAAAACTGCAGAAGTGTCCTTTTTTCCCTTGGCAGTGGCTGGATTTGCAGTGCTGTCCCTCCCTTGCTCCCAGGCAGCCTCGTGTCCCCCCCTCATGCAGCTTTTTTGAGCGGAGACCCTGTGGGTCACCCGACGGTGACTTTGACAGTCAGACATCGAGGAACGGAATATAATTAAAAATGGCTTTATTTTACTTTTGCATGCCAGGAGGTAATTCAGGTTGAAGGCTTGTTTTAAATGCGAAGCCTGGAGGTACTAACAGCTGTCAAGGACTTTTTGGCTGAGCTGTTCTCTGCTCCTCAGACACGGCCACGCGTTCCAAGTCAGGAGCTTTACTGAGGCAGCCAAGCGTTTTTAGCAGCCTGTCAGGCCAGGCTTTTGGGGGAAAACTGCTCCCTGGGTGCTGATCACCTTCACAGGGACCCCTTTGCTGGGGGTCTCCAGTGCTCAGGGAGACTCCTTGAGATTTACAGCCACTCCATCCTGCAGACAGGATCCCTCTGATGGCTTCACTTCCAGGCTCCTCAACTTTCTTCCTCCCAATGTTTTCCAGGAGTTTGTGTTTAGTGTCTGACTTCTTGCAGCAGCATAAAAAAGGAAGAGTTTCCACATGTGTGGGGCAAAATGTTCCCCCCTACCCCGGCTGGCAGCCCCCTTTTCTGGTCTTTTATTCCACGTGATGTGTAAATTTTATTTCACAGGGTTTTTCCCAGGGGTGGGGAAAGACTTGGGAGGGTTTGTGGTAAAAGCAGGTGTGGTGAAGGCACTGAGGTATGCCATGGGTTTTCTCTTGGAGTGCAGGGAGGCACAAGGCAGGGAGCTGTTTCCAAAGGGTTTGCAGTTGATGATAATTTTTTATAATTAAAATTAATGTATTTTTATACTTGTAGAGAATGGCAAAAGTGCTGGCAGGAGCTCTCCCTCCAGCTCCAGTATCAGAGCC